CGCGCTCATCAGCCTCTAAAGAGGAACTCAGTGTTACTAAACATTGTCATACTAAATACTGACGTCATATCTGAAATTAATCACTTATTTTCTTTAGATTTTGAGATGCTATGTTGAAATAATACTATATTTCAGGAGAATATGTAATGATCTAGGGTTAATAAGCCATCACAAGATACTAAGTCATTATATTGACATAGTAAGTCAGTTTTATGATGTACTAAATCATTATTGTGACATACTAAGTCAATATTTCAAGACAATAACTGATTAGAATAAGATACTAAGTCATAATTTCAGCATAAGTCACTCAGAAAATAAATCATTGTTTTGACAAGTAGGTCGTCATTATTTTGGCATTCTAAGTCAATGAGTATGTTTACATGCACTCAATAATCTGATCACAATCAGATTTCTGCAGAATCTGATTATTCAAATGGTCATGTAAACAGCACACTCAAATTTCTTAGATCAGAGTAAGGTCTAGAAATTTGATTAAGAAATCTGATAAAGAGGCTGGATTTTAGCTCAGTAATCAGATTTCTCAGTGCTGTAGACTCTTACTCTGATTTCTTTCGGATTTCTCAGTCTGAGCAGGTGTGAAAACAGACGGCGGTACCGGAAATAAGCAAGCAACCAAATACATGCTTGATTAAATGAAAGATTTAAATGCTCTTCATCTTCTAGATGATGTATGTTCATATTTTCGGGTAAAGTGGCGCGATGTTTAAAGAAAGCCACAGTATGAAGTTTGAGATTTAATGTTATGTTTATGTCACATCTTCATCTGTGAGCTTACTGGCAGGCTGTAAAGCAGACATCCGATTACTGTCTGACTCATGTAGACCTGGAGTGTCCCCATTATCTGATTACTCAAGTGCATGTAAATGCATTGATCGGATTACTGATAAAATCTGATTTTCTGCAGTTATTGTATTATTAAGTGCATGTAAACACACTCAGTATTTCTAGAAACTAAGCGATTATTTGAAGGTAGTCAATATTCTGACACACTGCTGCCAGAAACAGAGAAGCAGAAAAAACACCACAGTGATGTTTCTCCTCTGTGTGCTAGTAGAGAGAACTCGTGACCAATAAGTCGTGAGAGAAAGTCGGTGATCCTGGGTCGCTGCTTTAGACTCATACCTGCCACTGGCTGCAGCTGTTGTGCTGGTAACACTTTCTGTGTTCCTGTTAGAGTCTCAGTTCAGATCCTGAAGAACACACGGACAGACAGATACAGGAGGAGTCTCTACACCTGCAGCCCAGCTCACCTGTACCAGGTAACTGCCTCTGCACAGGATCTGCCTTCTGGTGTTGATCCCTAAACCCATCCTGTGAAGTTGTGACTCAGTAAGGCATGAGATAAACAAGTTTGGGGCTGTTACTCAGTACTTAATTAACTGAGTCACTATGTAATTAAGTTGGGGCTATGACTCAGTAAAGCATGGGAATGAGATAATTAAGTTGGGGCTATGACTCAGTAAAGCATGGGAATGAGATAATTAAGTTGGAGCTATGACTCAATAAGGCATGGGAATGAGATAATTAAGTTGGGGCTATGACTCAGTAAGGCATGGGACTGAGATACGTTGGAGCTATGACTCAGTAAGGCATGGGAATGAGATGTTAGAGCTATGACTCAGTAAGGCATGGGAATGAGATAATTAAGTTGGGTCTATGACTCAGTAAGGCATGGGAATGAGATACGTTGGAGCTATGACTCAGTAAAGCATGGGAATGAGAAAATTAAGTTGGGGCTATGACTCAGTAAAGCATGGGAATGTGAAAATTAAGTTGGGACTATGACTCAGTAAAGCATGGGAATGAGATAATTAAGTTGGGGCTATGACTCAGTAAGGCATGGGAATGAGATACGTTGGAGCTATGACTCAGTAAAGCATGGGAATGAGAAAATTAAGTTGGGGCTATGACTCAGTAAAGCATGGGAATGAGAAAATTAAGTTGGGGCTATGACTCAGTAAAGCATGGGAATGAGAAAATTAAGTTGGGACTATGACTCAGTAAAGCATGGGAATGAGATAATTAAGTTGGAGCTATGGCTCAGTAAGGCATGGGAATGAGATAAGTTGGAGCTATGACCCAGTAAGGCATGGGAATGAGAAAATTAAGTTGGGGCTATGACTCAGTAAGGCATGGGAATGAGATACGTTGGAGCTATGGCTCAGTAAGGCATGGGAATGAGATAAGTTGGAGCTATGACTCAGTAAGGCATGGGAATGAGATAATTAAGTTGGGGCTATGACTCAGTAAGGCATGGGAATGAGATAAGTTGGAGCTATGACTCAGTAAGGCATGGGAATGAGATAATTAAGTTGGGGCTATGATTCAGTAAGGCATGGGAATAAGTTGGAGCTATGACTCAGTAAGGCATGGGAATGAGATAATTATGTTACTATGTTATTATGTTACCTGCCTTACTAAGTTATGGCCTAACTTATCTCGTTCTTGTGCCTTAGTAAATTATGGCCACCCATTATTTTTTATTAAGAAAGGATGTCACCAGTGGGGCTCTGTACCGGTCAAACTGAGACATTTTTTCCTTTCATTAGTTCAGAATTATTGATCTACTATTGGTCGCAGCCCAAAGCTCAGTGTAAACCACTGTGGCCCTCTGAATGCTCTTAATACTTAAAATGATCCAGGCAATAATGTTCTTTTAAGACTGAGACTAACTTCTGTATAATGTCTCTCTCTCACTCTCTCTCCTCCTCAGTGTCGTCGGGCAGTTTGGAGCTTTACTCCCAAACTCAGTCAGGAGATTCTCACACCTCTCACCTGCTCGCTTCACCACCGGGAGACATCGACCCCTACATCTCCTCCCAGATGGTCTCTACCGCACAGTAACAGCAGCAACAGCAGTAAACAGTGACTCATCAATGACGTCTTTAATGAACACTTAAAAGTTTTGCTACTTGCTGCCTGTGTTTTGTTAAGAAAGCACTATTTGATCTGAGACGATGGAAAGGAATTTCTGATATTCAGCAGGGATACCGCTGAAAACAGCTTAATTATCCAGTTAATCTGAATGGATATCAGAAAAAAGGATGTTTCTTTAATTTTAAGGGTCCATATCATGGACACCCAAACGTCCCTGATTTTTTAAAAAATAAAAATTCTATGTAAACATCGTCTCTCAGTTTCTAAATGTACTCTCCACTCTGGTATAAGGAAACCAGACTGCAAAAAAAAGGTATCATGTCAACTTATTTTGAATTATCTTAAATCTAGTCAATATTGTCCATTAAGATAATCCAGTTTATTTCTGGACAAGTAAAATTCTCTCACTGTACTGGCAGATAATTTTGCAGGTTTCAAGCTCATTTCTTAAAACATGCACAATTTTCTGCCAATTTAGTGACACAATTTTACTTAAAATTACTTAAAACAAGTAAAAATGTCTATAAATGAGGTAAATAATCTTAAATTAGGCTCACAACAATCTCAACAGGAGAAATATTAGATTTATTGACTATGTTTGAGATAATTTTACTTTACAAGATACCATTTTTTGCAGTGTAATAGCCTCACGTTGAATTCACCTTATGATGTGATGGACGTTTCAGCAGCTGTACACTTCAGACTTCTGAATACGGCACAGTACAAGCCAGCCAATCACAGCAGAGATCATTTACATACTCTAATACTCACTGTAATAAACTGTTTCTGAGTGGATCAGACACAGCAGTGCTGCTGGAGTTTTAAACACCTCAGTGTCGCTGCTGGACTGAGAACAGTCCACCAACCAAAAATATCCAGCTAACAGTGTCCTGTGACCACTGATGAAGGACTAGAGGATGACCAACACAAACTGTGCAGCAGCAGATGAGCCATCGTCTCTGACTTTACATCTACAAGGTGGACTGACAAGGTAGGAGTGTCTAATAGAGTGGACAGTGAGTGGACACAGTGTTTAAAAACTCGAGCAGCACTGCTGTGTCTGATCCACTCAGACCAGCGCAACACACACTAACACACCACCACCATATCAGTGTTACTGCAGTGCTGAGAATGACCCATCACCCAAATAGTACCTGCTCTGTGAGGGTCCATGGGGGTCCTGACCACTGAAGAACAGGGTAAAAGGGGGCTAACAAAGTATCAGAGAAACAGATGGACTACAGTCTGTAACTGTAGAACTACAAAGTGCACCTATATAGTAAGTGGAGCTGATAAAATGGACAATGAGTGTAGAAACAAGGAGGTGGTCAGAATGTTATGCCTCCATGTTACCAATGACAAGCCTCTTGACCTTTATGTGACATCATATCTGGAGCCGAGAGTGCGGACAGAGAACGTGTAGAGAGGAGAATTACCACTCCGGTTTTCTCAAACACTAGAGGGCGCTCCCAAACGAGTCCAAAACGAAGGGTGAAGATGGAGCATTTGAGCAAAATCATAGTTTATAAATGCTAAAACATTTTTAATGTAAAAGAATACATTAATTTACTGAACACAGCGTAAAACATTTTAACACGTTTTAGAGTTTTTAAAAGGCGCCTCATGTACGTTCATGACGTCAGTGAGCGCGAACAGCCAATGAGCTGCTCTGCTCGCCAACCAATCAGCACTCAGTAGCAGTAATGTTGGCGTCCTGCTGCCCAAAACTTGTTTGCTGTAGAAAAAGGAAACATACAGGTGAGATTTCTTTGCTTTTTTAGTGAAATCCATCCTTCTACTGTCTAAAACTAAAGGAAAGTTCTGGTTCAGTGATTAGAAACTATTTTAACTTTTAGTTTTTAGCCGTTGAGCTCCATTCACCCCCATTCGTTGAGGACTCGCTCGCGGGCGCCCTCTGCTGTGTAGCAGTCGTGTTGTTGATATAATGGCGGAAATAGGAAGCGGCCAGGCTCTGGTGCGGAGCTGACAGTCTGGGGCTGAGAGTGCAGCGCTGCAGCTCTGCAGCCACACCCTTCTCATTAGATCATTAAACCCTATAAACAATATGCTTCTTTGTTATGCTTTGAAAAGCCACTGAGGAGAGTTTGGCCTCAACAAGGACTGAGACTTTTAATTTGAAATCTGTTTTCTATTACAATAAACTCTATAAAATATCATAACAGGAACACGAGCTGGAACAAAAACTCAGAACTGACTAATGTAAAAAAAACTGTACTGAAAACCCCTCTGCAGTCTTTCACTCCCCCTCGTCCAGTCTGATCCTTTTCTTCTTCTTCTTCTTCTTCTTCATCACGTTTTCCTCTGCGCTCTGCTCCTCGCGTGTCCTCTGTTCATGACCGACGGTTTCTTTTCCTTTTGAACACGTCTCCTCTCCCTCTGCGGAAGCTTTCTTCTTCTTTTTCTTCTTCTTTTTCAGTTCTGCGCTCTCCTTGCTGCCCTCGTCCACTCCTCCACTGTTCATCCCCTCTTTCTCCTTGCTTTTCTCTGTGGATGGAGGGATGAGGTCCAATACGGAAACGGCGGCTTCTCTGAACCTCGACTCCATCTCACTGTCGCTGTCACTGAGAGAGAAAGAGAGACAGAACGAGACAGAAAGAGAGAGACACGGGAAAAAGTGAAAAGAACAGAGAGAAAGAAAGAAAGAAAGAGAGAAAAGTGAAGAGAGAAGGAAAAGGTGAAAAGGAGAGAGAAAGACAGTGAGTTATCATTACTGCAACTGAGTGCAGATTGGTTAGCGTTACTGCTACTGAGTGCTGATTGGTTGGTGTTACTGCTACTGAGAGCTGATTGGTTACCGTTACTGCTACTGAGTGCTGATTGGTTGGTGTTACTGCTACTGAGTGCTGATTGGTTAGCGTTACTGCTACTGAGTGCTGATTGGTTAGCGTTACTGCTACTGAGAGCAGATTGGTTGGCGTTACTGCCACTGAGTTCCCTCACAAGATTGGCGCCGCTCTGGTGGCGTCACCACGCAGCCTCGTTAGGACTGCTCCACTTGTGTGACCAATAGGCGTCTTCATAGGACAGTCCTACCGAGGACCCGCCCTCCCTCGACTGCAGCCTCAGCTTTGGAACGCAGCTTTTATTTCATTCAGTTTATATGAGTAGAGTGTAAAAATGGACCTGAGCCAGGTGTTTATCTGCTCTCACTGCCGCCGTTCTACAGCAGCGCTACGCTACACCGCGGCACTGTGCGTCTGGTGTTTGGTGGCCTTTACACTGAGCATGTCAGAAACAGTAATGTGATGGTTGTTGGTGAATGTTCTGGTCAGGGTGGTACCTGGAGCTGGGGGCTGGTGGGCGTTTGGGCGCCGGTGGAGGGGTCGGCTCCTTCCGCCAATTTCCCGGAAGAGACGTGGAGAAGAGTCGGAAACCTTTAGACACAAACAGAAACAGCACTCATGTTACTGGAGGCGATTGAGGCTTTTGGTTTTGCTGTATGAGTATTTTCTATCTGCCGGTCATTTGTGACGAATAAAGTGTGTAATTTTCCCCCTGTAGAAGCTGCACATCCAGCCTTGACCGCTGCTTAACAAACTCAGACAAACTGGCTGGAAACATGACAGAAAAAGGGTCAGTATGACTGACTGACCATCACAGACTGCCTTAATACTTTCAGTAAATAGCTTCACTGTGCTGAAAGGATAGCATGTAAAGTGTAATACAATTTAAGCTTGGACTGTCAATCATTTAATCTGAGACACAGAGACTTTATAAAGGTGCAAACTTTGGTGTCAGAACATTTGAAATTGTGCACTTAATTTTCAGGGGGTATTTTATTGGTTTAAAGGGCCGCTGCACAGAAAACGTCATTTTCCTCACTTTTGTTGAACAAGAGTTCGATGTAGACACTGAGTGTGTTTACATGCACTCAATAATCCTATCATAATCGGATTTCTGCAGTTATCCGATTATTAAAATGGTCATGCAAACACCATACTCCGATCTAGAAATCTGATTAAGAAATCCGATAAAGAGGCTGGATTTTAGCTCAGTAATCAGATTTCTCAGAGCATGTGAACTCTTACTCTGATTTCTTTCGGATTTCTCAGTCTGCACATGCACGAGATCAGACGGTGGATGTCGTGAGATGCAGCAAAACACTGTTGGAGTGGCGCTGAAACCAGACACGAAATAAAGGATTTGAATATTCTTTATCTTTTAGATGATGTTTGTTCATATTTTCAGGTAAAGCGGCGCGATATTAAAAAAAAAAAGCAGAGGTATGAAGTTTGAGTTTTACATTACGTTTACGTCACGTCTGATTCTGTGAGTTTATTGGCTGGTTGGACTTTCCCCATTATCTGATTACTCAAGAGCATGTAAACGCGCTGATCAGATTACTGACAAAATCTGATTTTCTGCAGTTATCAGATTATTAAGTGCATGTAAACACACTCAGTCTGTTAAAATATTGTAACGTATTGTTCACTCCTGAGTCCATATATGGAAACTAAACTGCGAAATTTTGAATTGGTTGTTTTTGTGATGTCACAAACTCATTTACATATATCCACCAATTCAGCCTCCAGCCCATTCACTCTTAAGTTACGAGGAGTGATTCAGCCCGGACTGCTTTTTGAATAAGGTCAGCTAATCAGAAAAGAGCTCATTTACATACATCAGTCTTAAAGACACAGTAACAAAAGCAGCCTGTTTAACTGTAACGGATACAGAGAGGCTGGAAAATGGTGATGTAGAAATGAGCTGTGACTGTTTTTGGTACATAAAGCCACACAGACGTTATAAGTGGACCGTAAATCTGGTATATGAGCCCTTTAATGTTTGTAAAACAGCTCATCAGTTGATACAGTAAGTGAGAAGCCCAGATTTCTGAGATGGTCAGTCAGAACTTCAGCAATTTTACATGAACTGATCCAGTAGTGAGACAGTCTACCGGTCACCTTCATCATCATCATCATCATCATCATCATCTCCATTTTCACATGAATCAGGTTTGGGCTCTGGAGGTTTAGAGGACACTTCTGATATACAGCTGCAAAAGAGAAAACATTGTTATTATTATTATTATTATTATTATTACTTTATTTTTATAGCACCTATTTATTGATAAATAGGATGTGATAATTCTCCAGATTCATTGTTCGGCTCAGAAATCGATTTGTCTTTTTTTGTTTTTTTGAAGGGGGGGGGTGAATAAGATTTTTTTTCACCGTTTTTTCTGGGTTTTATTAAATTACCAGCAATTTGGAACATTAAAGAGAACACTAAAGAACACAGTAGATTAACTTAACATCACATAAATCAACTACATTAACAAAAACAAACAAATAAAATCAAATAAAGACAAGTTAAAAAATTTAATTAAAAAATCTTTTCTGAATGTGGTATTATGGTTCCGTGTTCCAGAACCGCAGCACAAGATTGTGGACATTTGTATTGCAGTTTGGGTCTCGGTTTCAGAACTGTTACACCCCTACCAAGTACAGGGCGTCCCAAACAAACTGACATCATTTCGTAGTCTGATATCAGCCAATTCTCCCTCAATTGATCTCAAATTTAACAACATGTGTAAAAACTAACCAAGTTTAATTTTTAATGTGTTTTTCAGGTTGAAGAATGGCGTTCACTAGAAATGAACAGGCATTGTGTGTGTTAGCATACGCTCGAACACAGTCAAACGAGAGTGCAGCGTGAATTTTGGAGAAAATTCAATAAAAATGCACCAACTGGAAAGCTGATTTGGACACAGCACAAAAAACTCAAAGAGGACGGCTGTCTGTGCAGGACAAAGGGATCTGGACGGCCACCAGTATCAGATGATATTACAACTGTGAAGCTGTGAAATCGGTTATAAAATCTACATCCCTCTGAATTTCTTGTTCGAATTTTGATAAATAAATCTTGTTTTGTTCAACATGAAGCCTATTTAATTTTGTTTGCCTCAGACATGTAGTTACTCAGATACTCACATCTCAAATGATGTCAATTTTTTTGGGACACCCTGTACATACCCGAAAATATCATTTCGGTTTCTGTGAATAAAGCTGGCAATAAAAGAACATTCTTGCTAAAACCAGGCTTTAAACAGAAGTGTATGACGAATTTAGTGACATTACTGAAACGCCCCCCCACCTGTCCAGTATGGCCCCCAACTTCTTGGCAACATGAGACTTAAACTCCGGTGTGAGCTGGAGCTCATTTCCATCTTCTTCATGCCTGGACGGGTCCATCCTGCAGGCGGTAGAACATGTTTATGAGAGAAGATAAGATACCTGAAATATTAAGACCGACAGCTGAACGTCTCCAACTCACTCACCTCTTACTCTGAGCACCGTTCTTCTCCACATCTGTGCATTACAGACAGCAGGTTACTGTACAGAACCACACGGTACCGCCAACATCTCAACACTGGAGCCTGTACAGCTACAATCATACATACAACCCTGACAGCTACTGACACGAACCAGCCTCACTATGCCTTAATTAGCACTCTTAAAATAGATGGTTCTTCAAGGGTTCTTTAGTAACGGTTCTGTTTAGAACTATGAGTTCTATATAGAACCATTTCATGCTTAAATTGTTCTCTGTGTGCTGAAGGGTGATGAATGACTGATGGAGAATATATTGTATACAGTTCTATATAGAACCTTTTTGAAAAAGGTTCTATGTAGCACCAAAGAGGGTTCTGTTGTTATGATGTCAACTTTGTAAAAACCCTTTTTTGGTGTTCATGAAATGGTTCTATAAACATGAAATAGTTCTATATGGTTCTTATTGGTATTCATGAAATAGTTCTATATGGTTCTTCTTGGTGTTCATGAAATAGTTCTATATGGTTCTTTGTGGTGTTCATGAAATGGTTCTATATGGTTCTTCTTGGTGTTCATGAAATAGTTCTATATGGTTCTTATTGGTGTTCATGAAATGGTTATATATGGTTCTTTGTGGTGTTCATGAAATAGTTCTGTAAGCATGAAATGGTTCTATATGGTTCTTACTAGTCTTCATTAAATGGTTCTATGTGGTTCTTACTAGTCTTCATTAAATGGTTCTATGTGGTTCTTCTTGGTGTTCATGTAAGCATGAAATGGTTCTATATGGTTCTTATTGGTGTACATGGAATAGTTCTATATGGTTCTTCTTGGTGTTCATGAAATAGTTCTATATGGTTCTTCTTGGTGTTCATGAAATAGTTCTGTAAGCATGAAATGGTTCTACATGGTTCTTTTTGGTGTTCATAAATTGTCTCTTTATGGTTCTTTTGGTGTTCACGAAATGGTTCTCTAAGCATGCAAACGGTTCTATATTGAACTCATGGTTCTAACCATTGTCTTTACTAAAGAACCCCTGAAGAACCGTCTTTTCCAGAGTGTAGATGTATTTACCAGGTACCTGTGTTTGAGCTGTGAGCTCCACTCCAGACAGCTTCTCTGAACTTCTCAGTGTCCTCATCTTCACTGCTGCTGCTGCTCTCAGCTTCAGCTGCGCACATGGTTTCTGTTTACGCCTCTTCTGCACAGCTAAGGTTGATAAAATAATCAGTACATGCCAAATACGAGCATTAGCAGCGTTATAAGCAACTACACACGCACGCTGACGCTTATAGCGCTACATTAACTCCCTAATAACACTGCAGCATGGGCTACTTAGCAGTAGCGGAAGTGTGCCCATTCTCCCACCATAGAAACGCCATGAGTAGATTCGCGAAAGCAGCGGGCGCGTCCCAATACCACACCGTGCACTTCTTTACTTCGTAGGCTTTTAACGCTGAGCTGGCCAATCCGGGCTCAACCGGTTTGAGCTTATAATTGTTTGGTTCACCGATCACTAATGAAGCTAACTTTTCCTTAGTATCTATGAAATTCTCCAAAACGCATCGCGTATATTGAAGAATGATATGGGGGCGTCCCAATACACCTCCTTACAGACTTCTCTACTTTTAAGGGGTTCGCCTCAGAGTCGACCAATCAGAACGCTCTGTCTTGGAAGTTGGACCAATAACGATTCAGTTTATTTATGAGTGAAGTCTTAGAGTCCGGTCGTAAAGTTGATAATTATTCGTTAAAAATTCGAGTTTGTTTATGTTTATTTATATGTAAGGAACATCAGCTCCGGCTGTTTCAGCGGTTGTGGAAGAATCAATAATGTTAGCACAGCCAGCGTAGCAAATGTCCAGTTAGGGCTAATGGTAAAAGCAGGGAAATACTGAGCTGCTCATCCGTCATTTTATGCTTTTAATTAACTTAATTGTTAATCAGTTTAAGTAAAGAAGCACTTAGGCACATTTATTCGCTCGAGTGAATCTGTTTTCGATATGGAGAATCTCAAAACAAACGTCCGCTAGCTGCTTAGCACTGAGGGGAGTGTTACTATGGTTACCATCTGGCTGAGTCCCAAACCGAGTGAATTTCTTCATTATTTTACAAAACATTTCATTTTTGGCAGTGAATTCCCCTTATTGTTTATTTTTAGACCGCTGCTAGCTGTAAGTTGTCGGCATGGTGGGTTTTACTTCTGTCAGAGGTCATTTTCAGAGAGTAAAGTTGGTTCTTCAGGGGTTCTTTAGTAAAGGTAACGGTTCTGTTTGGAACATGCATGCTTAAATGTTTCTTTGCATAATGAAACGGTTCTTCAGACTGATGCAGAATGTGTTCTATATAGAACCTTTTTGAAAATGGTTCTATGTAGTACCAAAAAGGGTTCTTGCTATTGTGACAAGCTTGACATCATAGCACTAGAACCCGTTTTAGTGCTACATAGAACCATTTTCAAAAAGGTTCCTAAAAGAACCATAAGCAACACATGCTGTAGGACCGGATACAACATACTTCACAGTGCAAAGAGCATGAAATGGCTCTATATACAACTCATGGTTCTAAATAGAACCATTCCCTTATAAGGGAGGCCTTTTATAAGAGTGTTCACTGAAACCTGAAATGAATTTGCTTCAGCTGATGTAATGTTCTTACTATTGAGCACATATATTTAAATTACTACATTTTGCACTTATTTATTTTGTTATTATGCTGATAAGCCCAAAGGTTTACATGACCATCAGCTGAAATGAATGATCTGGCTGGACCCAGTTCACTGTGGAACAGTGCTAAACTTGGCAATAACCTGAAGCTCATTTGAAAGGCATGCAATTTATTGAACAATGCTAAGCAGGTGATACTGATATATGTATTTATCAGTACTGCCCTGTTGCCATGTAATCATCTAATCAGATAACATACAAACAGCCTTGCCCATCAGTTACCAGGGCAATACAGGACCAACTGGACACTGGATAATCCTTATCCACCATCACTGAGGGCCTTCAGAAAGCCTGTGGAGCTCTTTCTCCATCCAAAAGTGGAGTCAAAACAGGTACTCCACTGTACAGCGTCCAGAGATGAAGGTAAAGGTGGGCGATGTGGTTAAAAACATAACATCACAGTACTTATGTGATATATGTGTCTAAAACAGCAGCAAAACTGCAGTGTAGCATTAAAAAAGGCTGAAAAATTAAAAAAAGAAGAAATTTTGAATACAGTGATTTAGAATTTGTAAAAAATGAATGAATAAAATAAGGTGACGTCATAAAGGGTCCCGTCCAATCAGCTCCTTGTTAGTATACAGGCTCTCTATAACTGGTCTAAATACATATTTTTATCAGGATAAAGGTAATGAAGATAAACATGCTGTGCATCATGTTTGTGATATAAGTTGGAACAGACAAAATGCAGCAGCAAAACTGCAATGAAACATTTAAAAAAGGCTAAAAAGTTAACTTTGAGTGCAGAGATTTACAATTTTTAAGAAATAAATGAAATAAGATGATATCCTAAAGGGTGCTGTCCAATCAGGGTCCTGTTTGTATGCAGTTATTGTACACTATAACAGGTCTAAACACATATTTGATCACAATACTGATAACACATCCCTGGATGCATGAAGCTCTATCAGACCATGAGGGTGGATTCTTTGGTCACCGGTGGACTTCATATAACTACGGTGGTCCATGAATTTCCAGACAACGAGAAATCGGTCTGTTTGTATCCAGAGGAAGCTTCTAGAGTGTTTGTCAGGTGACTGAGTCCAAGCATTGCATCATAAATCACTATGCAACTCTGCTGACCTGTATTTATGGTCATTAGACTTGATGGACATCCAGAACATCCTGAACCGGTTCCATCTGTCAGTAGTGTTTTGATAAATTACAGTGTTAAGAGAAACGAGGCCGTGCCACTGAACAGCAGCGCGTCTGCTCACCCTTTACAAAGTAATTTAAAAGAAAATACAGAGAAAATGTGAAACTTTATGTTTGAAAACAATCTACATGCTGCCCCCTGCTGGATGGAAAAACTGTCAAGCAGAAAAACTTTTATTTTTGAATTAACACAACAGAAATCTGATATATGGCAATGTATGGATTTCAGATATAATACGTATATCAGCACATCACTAATAATATTGTTAGAGCAAATTTCTGACTGAAGATCCTACTGTTTGTTAATATTACAGACTCTAGTGGGGCTTAATTACATCTGAGCAGGTACTATTTGCATGGTGGATCATTCTCAGCACTGCAGTAACACTGATGTGGTGGTGGTGTTAGTGTGTGTTGCGCTGGTCTGAGTGGATCAGATACAGCAGTGCTGCTGGAGTTTTTAAACACCTTAGTGTCACTGCTGGATTGAGAATAGTCCACCAACCAAAAATTTCCAGCCAACAGCATCCTTTAAATCTACAAGGTGGACTGACAAGGTAGGAGGGTCTAATAGAGAGGACAGTGAGTGGACACAGTGTTTAAAAACTCCAGCAGCACTGCTGTGTCTGATCCACTCGTACCAGCACAACACACACTAACACACCACCACCACATCAGTGTTACTGCAGTGCTGAGAATGATCCAACACCCAAATAGTACCTGCTCTGTGAGGGTCCATGGGGGTCCTGACCACTGAAGAACAGGGTAAAAGGGGGCTAACAAAGTATGCAGAGAAACAGATGGACTACAGTCTGTAACTGTAGAACTACAAAGTGCACCTATATAGTAAGTGGAGCTGATAAAATGGACAATGAGCGTAGAAACAAGGAGGTGGTCATAATGTTACGCCTGATCGGTGTATGCTTGACATACACTCCGGAGCTGCGTGTAAATTTCACGATGAATGGACTAAAAGAAATGACCCAAAACAACTTGGAAAGACGTCTGGTTCCATTGACTTACATTAAAAGTAAAGCATGTTTTTTCCTTCTCCTGTAAAGTTACCATATTGGAGATCTTCCAACAACAGCGATATATAATAAATCTAAATTTGAAATATGTGCCTGATCCTTTATGATTCATGTGTATATATGGCCATATATCAGATTTCCATATGGGTCACTACCTTAAAATATATGATGTGAACAGCAGCAACACTGGATGGCTTTTCATTGCTCATGACATACAATTATATTTACAAAATTATCTTAATTATAGTCAATAAATCTAATATTTCTCCTGTTGAGATTGTTGTGAGCTTAAATTAAGATTATTTACCTCATTTCTAGACATTTTAAGTAATTTTACTAAGTAAAATGATCGCACTATATCGGCAGATAGTTTTGCTTGTTGTAAGAAATGAGCTTGAAACCAGCAAAATTATCTGCCAGTATAGTGAGATAATTTTACTCAATAAAATGACCAAAAACAAGTAAATCATGTCTAGAAATAAGCTGGATAATCTTACAATAAGTGCACAACCATCTGAAAATGTGAAATATTAGATATATAGACTAGATTTAAGAACATTTCACTTGATGACACCATTTTCTGCAGTTCAGTCATGAGAAGATAAAAGTCACGACAAACATTTGCCACCACAGGAGCACCTTGTAATGAAATTTTTTTTATTTCTCACTTTTTATTTATTCATTTTTTTAAAGAAATAACTAGAATTCACACAAAGGGCAACAACTGACAAATTAATTTCTAACCTGAACTAATCTATAATACAATTTTCTCAGAACTATGAATAAAGAATATGGGAGCAATTTCATTCCAACAGTATGAAGAATGTAAGATGATGTTCTTCAGCTTTAGACACGCAGAGTTCAGTGTTTCCCCCAAATCTAACACTAAGTTTCAACTGTACTGGTCTGATTTCATGTTTTGTTGATTTTCTGAGTGTAAATAAGTTACACATCCCCTACAGAGACACACTACTGCACAATTTAATACACAATTACGGTTTATTTTACTATATTTAACATAAAAAAAACAAATCTGTTCAAGTAAAATGTAGCCTGTGCAAAAGTTATGGCACATTTTATATTTTATGCTTTAACACATTTAACTCAACACAAAAACAGAAACTGAGCATTAGATTTGCAGAGAAATGTCACACTTAAGTCAGAGGATGTGTTCACTTATTATCACATCAGCAAAACATGGAAAATGATCATATTATGGGGAATATTCTAACTTTTGCATACGACTGTACGGCTGAACAATGAACGGATTTCATATCGAAATTGCAGTTTGAAAGAGTGACGTAATGACGTTCTACATCATTAAGCGGTTATTAAGATTAAAGTGGGGAACTTCAGCCTCATAATGCGGAGCTCGTGAACTGGCAGTCTCTGCACTCAGCGTTAAAGCCTCTTTATTTCATAGAAAATGAATTTAGAAAATAGAATTTTAACGCAACCAAAT